CTAAGCTTGACCTAACTCGGCTGAAACAGAATTGCATTCGACTGGAATGTCGCTTAGCTTGAAGCAAACAAAGGACATAACTTCATACCAACCAGGAGCACATCGATAGCCTTCCTATATTAGCCGTTAGCTTGCTACATGGTTAACAATCCATGAATAACACCAAATGTAACACACCGGTTCCCCATTTACACTTCAGGTGTTGTATTAGCCGTTAGCTTGCTACATGGTTAACAATCCATGAATAACACCAAATGTAACACACCTGTTCCCCATTTCCACCAAAGGTGTTGTAATGGAAATGAGTGGCATGACACTGGTTGACAAAATGTCGACGATGGACATTTTCACTTTTTGGACATTTCTGGGGTGTACTCACTTTTGTTGCCAGCAATTTGGACATTAAGGCCTGTGTGTTGTTATTTCTTCATCAGCGTATGATACAAAATTGATCACATCGAGCGACCAATCAGATCCGCAGTGGAGATTCCGAAGAAAAGGCGCTTTTACCTTTGCGACATGATCTTGTAGGCGTCCGGCAGGTAGCATCTGGTGTTCTCCATCTGCGCCGGGTCGGCATCGCAGATCTTGTCGTCAGTGCGCCCGTAGTTGGCGCTCTCGATCATGATGACGTCAGTGCCCGGGCAGCGCAGCTCGATGGGGTAGCCTTCGCACGACAGCTCCCGACGCACCACCGCCATGGGGATGGGCGCGCGGCTGAAGGCTGCGGGGGATGAACAAAAAGATATGGTGAAGCAGCATGTGGCTCAGCCCATCCTCCCTGTTCCAAGTTACTGAAGTGGACAAGTGACATTGTGCAAAGGGTTTCATTAGCAACGCTTGTCTTCACGCATGCACACACTTACGCTTAGGAGGTGCTCATTAGGGTGTCATTTCATTTTGTTTTAGTCATCATTCCCAAAAGGCAGCAAAGTGCTCCCGCCATTGGAAACAAAGTGGTTCAACAATAATTGGATTCATTTGGTGTTGGGGTGGGGTGATGAAAGCCTTCAATTATCTGACGTGAATTTAAGCCACCAATTTGAGTTGTTGATTTTTTTTGTTTGTTTTTTTGAGAAAGAAAAAAAAGTGGACATTTTTAAAATGCGAAAAGAGGCACCTCTGAGTACAATGCTGTACAGTTTTTGGATGGTTGTCGTCGTCTTTTTTTTTTTTTTTTGAAGAACAGTATTCAGAACTGCATCTGTCACTAAACAACCAGAATATTAGAAGCTTCTCTGAGTATCACGCAAAGAAATGTTCTATTATTGCAAAGGCTGAATTTTGGATCATTGTGGAATGAAAACAAAAACTTTTTCTATGAACCACATTTGGTCCATCTCCTGTGGCAAAATAACCATCCTCCATCCATTTTCTAATCCGGTTCTCCTCACAAGGGTCGCGGGCATGCTGGAGCCTATCCCAGCTGTTTTCAGGCAGTATGCAACTGGTTGCTAGCCAATCGCAGGGCACACATAGACTGACAACCATCCGCACTCACACTCACTCCTAGGGATAATTTAGAGTGTCCCATTAACCTGCCACACATGTTTTTGGAAAGTGGGAGGAAACCGGGGTACCCGGAGAAAACCCACGCGGGCATGGGAAGAACTCCACACAGGAAGTCCGGAGCCGGAATCGAACCCTGCACCTCTGCACTGTGAGGCCGACACGCTAACCGGCCGACCACCGGGCCACCCTGGCAAAACAACCCAAATATTTAACGTTCCTTGCTAGTATGGGGAACTTTTATTTTTTTGGGGCCATTTAAGTATTTTTAAAGTCCTCCAAGACTTTTCAATAATATTTCTATTTTAGAACTGTGTGTCCCAAAAAAAAAAAAAAAAAAAAAAAAAAACCAAAGCAGCGCAGCTCTCCAGCTCTGCAAATTTGAAAATCAGAACACTTCATAATCCCAACACGATCATTAAAAAAACATCAGAGCAGGAGGCTGCCAACATTGGCACCATCAGCGGCACTCCCCTGGCGACGACGGTAGATGTCAACGATTACCCGGTTAGTCAGCAGCTGTCGTGTAATTGCATCTGTGATGGATGGTCCTGATGCGCAAGGACACATCAACTAGTAGTGATGCTTCACCTCGATTGGCAGGACTCCTCAGGTGCCAAAAACGAAATGATGCACCTCTCCTTAAATAACCTTCTTCGAAGGGGGACTCTTGATTTCTTTGGTAAGGATCGAGAGCTGATTCTGAGTTACGTAACCCTGAAACTAAGTGGAACTAACAATGACATTTAGAAGACCATCATTAGTAATAAAATAAGGGGTCTTGTACTTCACTTCATTTTGTCTCTCATGGAAATGTGTCCTGAAGACGTTAAGGTCAGCCATCATTTGGATTTCTAAAATTGAAAGTTCTGCATGAAGATATGCGACTGTAAAAAGCTATGTAAATATTACCGCGGTAATCACCTGCATACTCCCACTCCAGTATTCACATTGCCCGCAAAATGGCGCCCAAACAATGTCTATTACGAGAGTACATCATTGGTGTCAAAGAAGTTATGTTGAAGTGATACATCGTGACTTAGAGATGTGCTTCGTATGCTGGGGAGGAGCTAAGTTTTAGCTTTTGCTATAGGGCATTCTCACAACTTTCCAGAATATGGTCGACCGGGCCTATGTGCGCGCCTGTGTGTGCGTGTGTGTTTGTACGCATACACATCGTAACAACTTCATTGAATTAATGGAAGAAAGATGGAAGACAAAGGCAGGGGGAAGACAGGGGAGCTGATTCGACACGTCAACCGTCCAGACGGGTGCCGCCCCCACGGCGAGTGATTCATCGGATTCGATTAGACCAATGGGAGCCCGTCACACCCACTTGCTGGTTTGTGGCATTATTAATCGAAGTAGCCCATTTGCAAGAGTACTTTGAAAGAAGGAGGGTCTTTGAATCGTACGCTTTTTCAATAATGCATGAGGGATTATTTATCTCCAAGTGAGAAACAGTTCAGGCAAATTGTTCTCCCAAGTAAATGATGTTTACATTTGGCCTCGAGCAACACGACTCTCAAAGGCTTTTACGCCGAGCAGAAAATTAACCAGCAAGTGAAGTGTCAAAAAGAAAGGATGGAAATACCGCATGCCATGATCGCACAATAATAACATAATTATTTCTCCAAAGCCGCTGTCACCACAATTTGTTGTGATTAGAATCGTTTGAACGCTTTCACATGCTTGGCTATCATTGGACAGCAATGATATCAATGCTGGATATTTGATTATGTATCGCCACAGATGATACAATATTATGCGTGGGTTAGTATTAGATATCACACCTGAAATAATATTTTTAGTCACCACACATACTGCCGCAAAACACAGGATAGAAATGTGGCGACGCTGATGAGGAGAAAAGTCACAAATATCACAAATTGGGTAGGTCCGCACACCGTGACAAACGCCCGCCTCGTAGCGCTCGCGTTTCCGCCCGCGGCGCTGCCGCTTGACCTCGCCGTCGATACCCGTCCTCATTAAACACCGCTGGGGCCGATACCCGGCGGCAGGAGCGATTTAAATGGCATCACTCAGTGCTTTCTCAGCGGCAAGGAGATGCTAATTCATTTATCCGGGAAGATATATACGCGAGGCGCCTATAAAACACGCAGGTGTTTAACCCCACCCTGCCACCCGCCACGCTGCTGTCAATCAACGCGCGAGGCGGGCGACTTCTGACAGCAATTTGGCGATGTAACGCGGTGACAACAGATGCCGCGGGCCGCGAGGGCCATTTTTCCCCCACTCCAAATATCAAGCCGGTATTGATTTTGCATCCATTACAGAAGGGCATAAAAACAGAAGGGATTTGTGGGTGGCGTGCCAAATGGAGATGTGATTGGTAAGTTGGATTTTCATGTACAAGACTGTATTCCTCAAATTGTGCCGTAAAGGGTTGATGATCTCGATCATGGGGTCGTCTTGAAAGGTTGGTCACGGCTTGGTCATGAGCGGGTTAATCGTGTCTGTGGGTATGCGGTGCCTGGGGATTGTCATTGTTCACACATGGACATGAATAAGATAACACATTCAAACACCGTTGCATACCAAAACAGCAGAACCGACTATAAATCACTCCCAGGTTAAAATCTTTATTGGCGTTGACTTGCGGTTTTAGATTTTTATTTGTCGGGAGCCCACAGGGCTGCGGCTGCAAATCCATAATGGTAATCCCCCAAAATATTTTCTAAATGTGAGTCACCGAAGGGATCAATTGAAGTGGGCGCGGGATTAAAGTGAATTCCCGTCAAGAAGGGAGCGTCCTCCAAGTGACACCTCTTCAAGGGCAAACCGTCAGTGGCTGTACGAGCCCAGACATTTTCCCCTCTGCCGCTTTGCGTGGCCTTGCCGTGACATTTATTACATCAGCATGCGGATTTTAGCATATGATGAATCCATCCTGACGTGGATGAATTACACGCCTGTCGTCGCGGCAATATTTTCTAAAATACTGTCATTAAATGCTCGACGATGGCTTTATTCCGCGCGATGGAGAGAAGTACCGGAGCGTATTTTGGGCGCTGAATAGCATCGCCGTGAATGGCTGTCTTTCAGTATTGACAAAATATGATGTGATACACGACAACGTCAGTGTGATCGGCTGTTTCTCAGCACTGGCAGTTCATGCGAAAGTTTGCTTTTTGTCACATTGGATGCTTGATAAGTAGGTAATTAATATTAGGGCTAACGCTTGTCTCGAGTCATTCTCAAAGTATACATTTTTCAGATGCAATTCCATTCGCGTGAATGGTTGTCTTTGAGCGCTCACTGTACAATTTTGATGTTCAATTGCATTCATCCGAAGTGTGTCATGGTTAATGACCTTCACCTTGTCTTCTAGAACACACACTCATTTATTCCCCGCCCCCTTTTTGAAGACAAGAATTGTCTTTAAAAAAAAGATTTTAAAAAAATCACTGAATTGTCTCAGTATTCTCACAGTGCATATCTGACCCTGAATAACATCAGTGAGTGAGAAAGCTGCTCTCGCAGCAGTTTTTTTTTTTTTTAGGCACATTAGAATGTCTCTCAGTTTTGACAGTTAGCTTCAATGGCTACGTCTTAGCGTTCTCACAATATGGAGTGTTTTTCTCACCCAATAGCATTAGCGTGGCTGCTTGTCTTTGAGCATTCCCCGAATGCATTTTTAACGCTACTGCGTGATCACTAATGCTCATCTCTCAGCACTTCCACAATCCGTTTCTGAGGCACGCTACCATTTGTATGAGTGACCGTCTCGCAGGTGTCTCAACACTGCCACAGCATTCTCACGGTTTTTGTTTTCCACACTGCTACCGCATTGAGGTGCAAATATAATGTGGCGCTGCCTCTGCTGCAAAGAGTCGCAGTGCTTTTTTTTTTAGGCTCAATGGCGTGAGAGTGAATTGTTGTAATCATGAACAAGATATTTTCAAATATTCAAGATGAACAGTGAGAATGTTTGTCTCCACGCATTCGCGATGAATGTGGATGCTCCTCTCTCAGAATTCACACGACATTTTTGACGCTCAACAGCTTAGCGAGAACGCTTGTTTATCTGCATTCACAATCCGTGTGAATCGTCATCTTCCGGCATTCCCAATATGCCATACGCTTGTTTCTCAGCATTCGCAAAATATATCTTTTGAGGCATAAAACCATCCGTGTGCATTTATCTCTGCATTCCCAACTAGTGCGGATTTTTGCCTCTCAGGGTTCACCCGATACGTTTGACATTCAATGGCTGGAGTGAAAATTCGTCTCTCAGCATTCTCACAATATATTTTTGAGGTACACAACCATTTTAAGTATGTTTGTGGATCCTCATTTCACAATTGCTGTGAATGGTTGTCCCTCAGCATTCATACGATTCATGTTAACATGTTTTGAGACAAAACCCGAAGTGAGAATGAGTGTCTCTGCAGTTGCAGCCAGCGCGAATGGTTGTTTCTCAGCATTCTCCCCCAATGATTGTAGCATCACACCATCAGCTTTCTCATGTGCATTTTTTTTTTTTTAGAGATAATGCCATTCATGTGAATGAGTGACTCTCTGCAGTCACAATTAGTGTGAACGCTCACCCCTCAGCATTACAATTTTGACACCCAATATTAGCACACGGGTTTTATCACAGAAACCAAGAGGGGCTGCTCATAATTGGAGGACGCGATCCATTTACGACCGATTCCCGTCTCCAAGTGTGCCATGCGGTATTAGGCGGAAAGAATATCAAATCCATCCCGGGCCCTTTCGCATGCGCAGGAACACATGATTAATGTGCCTGCTGTTTGCCGCATTGATTTTTCTATTGTTATTCACTGTGACCAAAAACAATGGTACGGGGGAGCAGTGGGCGGGAGGGCTTGGATGCTTCAGTTCTGTGCTTCAACCTGGTGACAATTGTTTTTTTTTTTTTTTTTATTGTTTTTTCTCTCTTGTCCCTGTCTGACTTATGTTACTGGCCTCAACCCTAAACCCGTAACCCTAACCTACACACGCCCCGATGCGCGTCCGTTCTTGCGTACAAAAGGAGGACTAGCGATCCCAAAGTAGGCCAGCATTCTCCGGCGCACAGCTCTCAGGGGAGGTGGAGGAATGAAATACCCTCTCTAGCGGAACATCTGCTCTATCATGACAATACACATTCAGTACTTGTCTCTCAGCGTGACGAAAAAAATACATTTTGAGGGGAAACAACAACGGGAATTGTTGTGCTGTTGTGATGCAAAGTTTGCGATGTGTCTCAGAACCGTATTGAAACGATCCATTTTCAAACAACCGCAGCATGGGTGTTCACGTTTTTCCTCTCAGCAGTCAAATTCGATTTTCTATGTTCAAATGACAGCAAAATTGCTGGTCTCTCAGCATTCAGGCAATACACTTTTTGGGATGCAGAATAATAGTGGGAAAGCCTCTCAGAACACAGTCAGATGAGACCGGCATGTTTTCTTCGATTTCTTGTTCATTTTAATGTCCGCTGCCACTACAAGGGTATCAAGTGACACAAAAGAAAACACAGAATGCCCAAAGGCTCCGTGTTTGGCTGTACATAGTTATTGATGAAAGAACTTCACGATTTTGGCCCTTTGAAAATGTCTCAATCAGCTCTTGAATTCAACTCTTAAACAGTCTGTTTTTTTGGTCAGTATATTGCGCCCAACAATGGACACAAGACGAAACAACGGTGGTCTCATTTTTTTTTCCCCCATGGCTAAATTTTGCCTCACACAAGACGAAACAATGGTGGTCTCATTTTTTTTTTTTCCCCGTGGCTAAATTTTGCCTTGAAGTATTCAAACAGTACGGATTGGAACATACCCAGAGCGGCTGGAGCAAAGAGGCTGGCGAGGACTAGCAGGCGTGCGGTCCACATGGCCTCCCCCTCGTACCGCCCGCTGCTAACGTTGAAGTTCAGCACTCAGGCCTTCAGGTCAGAAAGCAGAGCGACGGGGGCGCTCTTTGCTGCTACTTGCACCGCTCCCCGCTGATGTCCGAACCCTCCTGGGGAGAAAAAATACAAATGCAGGTTGAAATGGATTGTTTGTATCCGCAACAGACGGATTAGCGTCATGTTATGGTTTGCACTGACAGCGAGGGCTACGTTATGCTAAGGGTTTAGAGTACGGTTAATGTTTAGGGTTGCGATGGAGTTCAGTGTTCGGTTAGGTCAAAGGGCAAAACCCTCGTATCCTAAACCTAACATGAAACCCTTTTTGTCCGGTGCTGGATCAAATTTAGGGTTGGGGTTAGGTTACGGTGTAGCGTTAGCCTGAGGTGTTGTTTTGTTTAGGGTTGGGTGTAAGCGTTATGTTAGCTTACTTTAATTTGAATTTCGAGTTAGTTTTTGGTGGTTTGGGTGACGGTTCAGAGAGAGGTATGAGATTGATGAAGGTAAACATTTTGGTTATGAGTTAGAGTGTTATGATTGTGGCATGACGGGGTTTAGCGTAAAAAAAGATTCACGAAGCGTTTTAATGCATCCTTTGAATTCCAGTGAACTCTTGACATACACTCCATGTGAATTTTCCATATTTATACAATGAGGTTGATGGTCTATAATCTGATGAGCTCTCACCCCCCTTTAGTGGCATTATCGCATGATCTCCAATGATTGGGACTTCTCTGATCCAAACGCAGACGCGATCTGCTTCAAAGACATAATCCCCGCAAAGTGATGCAAAGGCAAAGGGCGGCACACTCAATCCCACCGTATTGAAGAGAGTACTTTCCCAAAGATGGAGGCTTCATATTAGCCCATGGGCAATGGGTTCACTAGCCCTGCCCCCTGCGCTCGATATACTCGAGACATGTCGGGGCAATGATTGCGCTGGCACATAACTATTTTATAATCCTAATCCCGACTATCCCGTAATCTGAGATTAGTGTAATCAGATTGTTTATGTTGGAGATAATAAAGGGTTTATGAAGAGGGCGGCTATCATGAATCCAAGGTGCAGCGCTTAAACCTGCAACGGTTTGACCTTTGGAGGAGGCACTTGATCAAGGCTTTCTGCAACTCCATTTCAGCAACAGCGGGGAATAGCCGGTTCGGGTTGGGATTAGCTGTTTGAGTGGTTAGTGAAAGAGAATTTAGGGTTTGGGGTCAGTGTTTAAAGACTGGGTTTAGGGTGGAGGTTTTGGATTTCGAGTTAGTGTCAAGGTTTAGGGGAGAGTGGAAAAGAGTTTGGGTGATGGGTAAACCGCCCCATAAATACACCAGGCTATGGCGCAAATCTTCGTTGAGAGAAATGTTGAAATTTAACATTTATTCTCCACATTTTTACAGGATTGGAAAACGTTAAGAATGTTTGTGTCATGTTTGTCCCGCTACAGAAATCATATTAAAACAAAAAATATACCCCCCCCCCATTTTTTCCCATTTTCAAACATTTTTGAAAAAGCTCCAGGGAGCCACTGGGGCGGCGCTCAAGAGCCGCAGGTTGCCGAATTTAGAGATAGGATTAAGCTAAGGTATATTGGGCGGAGGTTTAGGTTAAGGGTATACAGTAGGTTGAGGATATGTGTTTTGGGTATTGGAATCTTGTCCTTTTCAGATATCAAGTATATGCAGTTTAATGCAGGCTGTCCGCTGAGAAATGCCACTTGAAGAAGACTCGACTATAACAGCATTTAATTTGCTCCCTAAATAAATGAAAACAAGTACGGGAAGTGGCACCAGCCGCCGAGTGAGAACATCATAAAATATATATTTATGAGAACCGCTTTGGAGGAGGTTAAAAAAAAAAAGTAGGGAAAAAAAAACAAACAAGCTAGTCATCCAGCTATGCCAACGTGTCTTGTATTCCAGAAGGAGTCTCGTGTGATCCATTACGGCACTGACGTTTCAAGGGTACCTCTAGTGAGGGAGATTTAAGATAACTCCCTTAGATACTTTGGCCAATGTTTAGCGAGTCCACTGATGACTCTTCTAAGCAACATCAAGGAGACCACATTACCACAACACACGATTGGAAAAGTCATTTTCATCTGTTTTCCTGACATTTATTGCTATTAAACAGTGCACATTTGGCCTTCCCGTTCCTTCTGATATTTACACACCACCCTATTTAGGTATTTAACGCTCAAGATTCGGTCACTTTGATGGACCAAGTGAAACCTGACGAGTTCAGGTCAGACCAGATGATCACACTGAGCGCCTCAGATTTGTCAGGTGAACACACGGCAACCCAACACTGGCTAATTGCTCGAGAACTGAGTAAAACTGGCTTCACTCGTTGCTCCAGAAGCACCACAAATGAGACATTTCTACCCTTGACTATGAATTTGCTGTGCAACAGGGCAAATCCGGCATTAAACTTTAAAAACGGATTTTAAACAAAGCCTGGTGAGTCCTTTTTTTTTTTTTTTTTGCTTTCAAGCGCCATAAAAGCTGGCTACTCAACAAAGCAGTCAATGAAGAAGAAAAAAAACCTCCTCCCTTATATATTTCGCGTATTCAAATACACAACTCCAAATTTACATGTTGGCCACTGCGCTCTGAGTGTGACACAAATGTTCGGTGGACAAAAGAGAGCTTTCATTTCCAGAGCAGCCATGCTACAAACACACCAAAGCCCAGACGTGTTACCTCAATCCTCAGCGATATCTGACGGGGTCAGTTACACGCACGCACACACACACGCGCACACACACACACACACACACACACACACACATTTTGGTCTTCCGAGTCACACCCTCCTAACATATTGTAATGAAGTGGGATTGCATTCCGATGACCGCGTCCTTATCTTGGATGGGCGTGGGCAATCGTAGGAGCGAGGCTGGCCGTGTGCATTTATGCAAATGAGGTGTGTAATGAAAGGTTCATCTGTGGCAGCGTTCTCATAGGTTTTGATTGATGAGCACTCGCCAAGGGAAATCTTCAGCGCTCTGTGATTAAAACCAAGACGGTCAGATATGAGATTTGGGAAGCGGGGGAAATAGTAGAGGACACAACATTCAAACTCATCTTATTTTACACACACACAAAAAAAGAAAAGTGGCTACCAGATGATTTGATGTTTTTAAAAAAAATGTGCCCGCCGTGCAAGGATGCGGGTGGATTTGTCACCATTTTGCAAGCCATAAAAATAGGAATTATTCCTTTCCTGGGAACCATTTCACTCCATTTTTGACTCAGTAATACACACAGAAGATCAATTCTAAAGTGAATTTAGTAAAATGGGTCATTAGAAACATTTGGGGGCTTTTGGGGAGTGTATCAATTACGCTGCATTTTCCAGTTTTGGCAGCAGGGCTCACTGTTTACTGTATTGCAAAAGACTACATTTACGGTAACATACTTAGCCGTTAGCATCTGGTCAGCTCTTAACTTCCTGTCACATTGCGTGGTGGTGGAGGACCCCAAAAAGCAGGCAAGAGGGAGGAGCAGGGTGTACTTGACAAATTGTATTAAAACATAGAGAAAACTAAATCCAAAACAAACAAAGTCCAAAGTATCAAACAAAAATCATGACTGAAGCTAAAACATATCAGTGACCGAAACATGACTGAAACAAACCTGACAGCAGCAAACAATGACCTGACACCGAGTGGTTGTGCCGGGAGTCCTTTTAAAGCAATAATTCCATAATGACCAACAGGTGTGCAGCTGCAGGGAGAGCCCTACAGTGCCACCTGTTGGTCACAAACAGAATCATGACACTTCCACCACTATCAATTACAATCAAAGACCTTTTGCTTTATCTTGAAAAGTTTACCACCAGGCTTTCATTCATAGGGCGATACAGAGCACAAAAATAGTCAAATAGGACTGAATGGATGGGGGGGGGGGGTTCTGTGGCAACGAGGTGAAGGTTGAATGTATTGGAAAGCTGAAGATGAATAGGCCGTGACATCCCTGAAGCTTGACAACGCGCACGGCAAGGCATCCACTCGCACAATTGGCTCCCCGCGAGGGACCCCAACGTAGTCAGCCACTGACAGGCAGATAATAGCGCTAACTTTAGCCCGCGCGCTCGCCGACTGGTACTCCATGATCAGCCTCTTGAGTGTGACTGATGGCTCGGCTTAAGTAATGGGACGGCCCGAAGCCCCCCCCCGCAACCCAACTCTCCCCTCCTGAGCACAACCTGATTCATGAGAGGAAATGACACGTATAAAATGACAAGATGCACAGCGGGGATTATCGCACAGCAGATTGACTCAAGGTGGACCTGGTTACCACGGCAACACGCCATTGGTCAGGCACCAGAGCAAATTGGCATGCTCTGTCCACAACGGAGGCGTTCGGGTTTGTTCGGATCGTAAAAACCCTTGTGACCTCAACACGTATGGATTTTACCGTCAATATATTGCATAGCCGTTGTGCCGACGCGAGCGGTTTTTACGCGAATGGGGTCGGCGGCATTGGCGGGGTCGTTGGGATGATGGATGATCGGCCTGGCAAAACATGACCGAACCTTTATCGGGACGACTGTCATGTAATTCTTGAGGCACGGTAAAGTCCGTCAGCAAGGAGCCCGCTTGAAACGTCACTCGTTGAAACGCCGTTGCTGAAACTGGGATAAATGTGACTTTTTTTGCATTGCGGCAGAGTCACTTAGACCGCTCAAAATCCGACAAGTCTACACCAAAACACTGCCCACTAAAATAGTTTCTTGCCATGGTTTTCGTTCTGCTCAGGCACGGGGTGAATTCAGTCTTTTCTCCATAGCTCCAGAGTCCCTTTAATGGACCACTTAAAACCTGACAAGCAAGTCTAGATGATAATCCTTGCCCGCCCGCTTAAAAGCTTTGTATGGTAGGAACTTAGCATTGTCATTCTGATCAGCCCATTACTCTAGAACATAGCGAATTTGACTTTTTTTCGTTGCGCCAGCGTTACTAGCTGGACTAATTGGAACCTGACAAGCAAGTCTCGACTACAAGACTGCCTCCCGTAAGTTTCTTCAAGTATAAACAAGGCAGCTTTACCGAGTTATCGCTCAGCTCTGGAACAGACTGAATTTCCCAGTGGCTCCAAAGTGACTTAGACG